TCAGCCATCCATTCATCAATCTTATTGCTCTGATATCCCATGGGTTTAACAGGCTGTAGAGAATATAGATCTTTTAATTGGATGACATCCACTCCTCGCACTAAGGTTGTTGATGGATGTTTTAAGCCAGGAATTGGAGCTCAGTGAAATATTGATTTGGTTCAGGTTCAGTTCAAAGGCTGTCATGATATTCTGGCTTTATTTCAGGTCAGTAATTTCAGAAAAGACTTAGGCATAGTATATACGCCAACTGAAAAGGGAAGATAGGGTGGCTCAGTTTTATATGCAGTGAAGGTTCTCCTTCACGTTGCTGCTTTAGATGAAACTGTGACACAAAGGTGAAATCACTGGTTTCAGTTTTACTTGATTTGGAGACCTGCGTACCACCACAAGCAGTGAAGTCCAGGGCAGCACAGGGCTTGTTTTTATTTTGACAAATGTGCTCCGTGTTCAGGTGGGGTCCCTGAGGCTTGAAATATAAAGTTAATGAAAGCACAGATTAAGATCTCGGTTCTTCTATTTTAACCCTCTTTTGGCTCAGGGCAGTTTTCCTGGAGAATTTTCACAAAATGGATATTATGGGCTGAGAGCCCTAGTGAGGTATGAACAGTCCACTGTTCAAGGGATATAGTGAAATGAGTGTGAAGTTACTGGTAAACATTGTGGTGGAGAAGTGTGTTTGGTGTGGGTTTGCTTTCCAAGAAGACAGTTGGGAGATTTGGTCCTTCTGGACCATGTGGTCTTCAGAGGCTCTATTCCCTGCTCTGTCTTTGCAAGGTGATTTCCTGCTGGGGTAGCCATTGGCCAGCTTGAGAATTGCACCTTCTCCTTCATTTACATTATCAAATTGGGTGGTACTTCCTCTGAAGGTTTTATGAACCCCACTGTGCAGGCCGAGAAGTGTTGAGTAGGGTTTCTGCAGTATTTTAGATTAGCTGCTTTTTCTTGCCTGAGACTACCCAACATCACAAGAAATTATTCTATTTGAACTCTCTAGCAGAACCAATTAATTTGGACTTCCGGGAGAGAGCACAGTGGTAGAGACCATATTTGTGCCATGCTAGTGAGTCCTTGGGTCCAGGCTGCCCTGACTTCCTCCCATTGGCTCAGAGAGTCTCAGGCCAGCAGGACTCAGGCCCCACAGTTTTCTATTTAAACAGTGGTGCTGTATTGCTTGACTTGGCTGTTTCTACTAATGACATAGCAACATAATTAATTGGTAATTAGGATGCCTCAGAGGTCTATTTCCCTTAGAATCAGTGACTAGAGAGAATATGATTATAGTAAGCTCTAGTATATTTCTCCACAAAAGGAAGTATGTGCAGAAATTCTAAGGTAGCACTGCAAGTTGGATTAGAGAACTGTGTGGAATCATTAGACTGTGTGATGCATCCAGATGACAGGGTGGTGCTTTTCTGTAGTCTAGTTTTGGTCAATCAGCTGTGACCATTCTCCTCAAATGGAAAGAGCACAGACATTAGCTCTATGCAAAGAGCTCTTTATTACACACTCTGTGTATTTCTCCCAGGGAATGACACTTTTAGAACTCTTCCTGGAGAGTTGCACGCTCAGGTCACTTGGTCTTCAGCATCCCTCTTTGCTTTGTTTTCTCAGGAGAAGCTGTGCCTGAGGATGAACAGATCAGTGCTAAGGACCAGAAGAACCTGGAGCCGTGCGATAACACACCCATCATAGACAACATCACGCCTGTTGTTGCTGGCATCTCCACTGAGGAGAAGGAAAAATACGATGAGGAGATCTCCAGTCTATACCGACAGCTGGATGATAAGGTCTGTTGATCTCACTGATGTTTTGAGGCAAAAGCTCTGGCTCAGGCAGCCCCCAGAGACTTGACTCAGCCCCAATAGGTCAAGTAAAGAAATAAATAATGTTGAAAAGTAGAGAAAGATTTGATCCATGGAGCCATATTGGGAAGAGGGACAGGTAAAAGGGCTCAGTGGTCCCAAGTCGGCCTTCAGGGAACAGATGTGAGCTTTAGTTTGAAATAGAAGAAGCAATGGGGCAGGAGGGAGGAATGTGAAATTAAACAGTCCTGGTCAAGGTGTGAACATTCTCTCAGTTATGGTTGTGCAAGGTGTTCTGAAAAGTTCTTATTGCTTGTGGGAGCTGATTTCTGACCTGTCTACAAGGCTCACATGTTACTGTAATCTAAGGTGAATACAGGTTTAAAATGAAGACTAAAGGTATTCTAGTACCTTTGAGGGGGTCTGGAACAGGACATTGGAAAAAATAATTGTAAAATGGTTCAGTTACTCTTATCTTTGTGCCTTCAGTCCTAAAAGAGGATGAGATAGGTTAGTTATTGCAGGTTTTTAGATAGACACTCCTTGAATGATTAACATGCTTATATGCAGAGTTAAGCAGGAGATTGACCCAAAGGGAACAGATAGAAATGAAGACAGAGATGACAGGCTTTTATCCTTTTGCTTATCTTGTGGGCCCAATTGAGCAGTCAATGCTTTCTAGCAAAAGCGTTTCTGAGTGCCTGTTATATATAGCCAAAAGTTTATTGTCCTCACTGTGGTACAAAGACTGAAGGTGGCAGATCCAGACAGCACCAAGGGCCCTGGAGCTGAGGTGGGGCTGCAGACCAATAAAGACATGTATTATTCTGATACCCATCCTGACTCTGGACAGTGCTGGCTTAGGGAGCTTGATTGTTGTGGAGTGGAAACCTTCATGGAGGTTTGGTTAGAAGAGTACCGAAGGTTTGGTTGTTGATCTAGACAGATAGCAGAGTCTGCTAGAGTCTTCACTTCTAGAAATAGGCCTGGGTGGATTATTATAGGAGAGCAGGATTGTATGAGTATGTATGACTGTGTTAAGTCTCCTTATCCCCCTTCTGTGCTCATCCCTCTCCTCTTGGAAACATTGACCCAGCTAAGGGCCAAGGTGGTGACTCTTAAAACTCAAGCATGGGTTTAACCACGTAGCTCGAAGGCCCTGAGATTTGGATCTAATCATGTTATAGACTGATTGCCTCCCTGTTTGTGAAGCTCTCTTCAGAGGCAGGTTATTGGATGAAGTAGTTTGACTGTGCTAATTGGGGATATTTAATCTTTTAGCAAACTTTTAGGGCTCAAGTCATCATGTAAATGCATAAGCTGAAGTAGAGGAAAAGACACCTTGAAGAGTATGTATCATTTATCTGCAGTAAAGGTCCAGTTAGGAATCCCAGAGGCACAGGAAATGAGATGAGCATTTCATGTGATCCTGGCATATTCCTCCTGGAATATCCTAAATCCTATCAGTTCTGATAGGATTGCTGATATTTTCAGTCTGCTTAATCTTTTCTGGGGTAGTTCAACTCAAGTGCTTTTGGGGACACCTCTGGCTTGTATATAATAACCTTGTTATGGTAATATCCCCAATTAATCTTACAGACCTCTGGCTCTGGGGTATAGCCCAGAGTCTGGTATACCTTTGCAAACTGAAAGTGACTGGTTTCCTTAAGGAAGCTCCTTCTGCTTGTTTGTGATTCTGAGAGTTGCATTATGTCCTAACATTAAATTCAGGGTCTTCCTACCTCTGTGAAAACAGCTCATGAAATATCCATTCCCATAAGAACTGGAGTCTTTGTCCTTCATGCTCTGAACATAGTCTTCCCTCCCATTTTGCTCAGATATTGTTCTCAGACTCTCAAAGTAAGAAAAAGGAGATCAATAGTAAGCTCATAGTTTATGCAACTTCCTGATTTAGCAAAAGAACTGCTATTGTTAAAACAGTGAAGAAAGCCCAAATGCAATCCTCCCTCACTTTACAGATTTTCTCATCTGCAGATTCTAGAATGAGGGATCAAAACCAATTCCTTGATGCTAGGAGGTGTGGGAGAGAACAGAGCCTGGCGGCTCAGCCCTAAAGGGCACCAGAGCTCACGGTCTGCCTTAGTAGCTCTGCTTGTGAATGCCTGTGTATGTCCTATCAGCTGTCGTGCTTGCATGTCCTCTCAAAGGTTCTAGAAGATATTTCCGTGCTTCTGATGATTAGGTGGTTTGATACTTTGAGAATATGTGAGTTGGGAAATGGCGTCTTCTTGGATTATTGACCGGTAGAACTGAAAGTATCTGGGTGTAGGTGAGACGTCCTCAAGTTTATAGCCTTGTGGGTGGCTACATCGGTTCGGACTTTGAGTCTCATAGTCATTTCATTTTGGCCTTAGGCCCTTTAACCAAGGAAGTGCTCAACTTCAGTGATTTTTTTTTTTTTTTTAGGCTGCTGTAGGTGAAAGACGACACAGTTTCCTCCAAGCTGTCCCTCTGCCCCTCTGTCCCTCTGTGCTGCCCTTCATGGGTCCATGGGTAGATACTATCCCAAGGTCCACTAAAGAATCAAACCTACGACTCAGTGACAGAGGCCCCAGGACAGATGCCCCACTTGCTCATGGTGCTTTCTTGTCTGTAACTCAGGGCCCACAACTGTCACTTCAAAAGATTGCAATGGGGACTAAAAATCTCTAGTGTCATAACAGGTATTCTGTAAATGTTAGGTGCCTCTTCATCAGTCTTCTCCTCTGTGGGTTCCCTTTGCTTGAGGGAGAAGCCACATCATATGTGACGTCAAAGAAGTGGCAGAGTCATGGGGGTTGAGAGCAGAGTTCTAACATGAAGAAATTGATGTTGGCACTGCCTATCTTGCTCCTTGTCACCTCTCCAATACTGCTTTGCGATCGGAGATCCCTGAGAGGTAGTAAACTTAAGTTGAACTGTAAGTTTACTTATTGTACTGATTATTGTTTCCAGCAAAAACATCTCTAGAATCAAAGATGACCAGTGACCTTTTGACAACTGAGGTGACCACATTATTTCATGCATAAGAAAATCCAACTACCAACATATTTTGAGAAGTGCTTTGAAATCTCGTATCTCAGAGTGAGCATCCTTAAACCTGTCCTTAACACAACCTTATTTTGAAAGGTTTAGGAAATTTAAATCAAAATAGACAACACCAAATCCTTAGAAAAATGTCTTCATAAAAGCTAAATCTAGTTCAGGAAATGTCTCCAGTACTCCTGTTTGTGGGGATCGTATTATTCATCCTTCCCAGAGGGGTCTGGGCCTTTGGTTTTTCACTGCATCCTGGTTTGTTGCCTGTCAGGTAGGAGGCCTGCATCTTCAGGCAAACACCAGGGAAGTAGGCAAACAGTGCACTGGCCCTTTCTCTTCTTATTTCTGTCAGTTGGACACTTGTTTTTTTGTTCTGGGAGAGAGCCGAGAGGGTAGCTCCCTGATGTTGAGCTCTGTGGGCTTTTAATGTTAAGCTGCTTAATATATATGTGCAGAAGAGCAGACATATAACATTGTTCCTGGTCACTGACATGCTAAGTGTATAAAGTAGAAGGAGAATATAGCCTACAAAACAGTCAGCTAGCTGTGGAAGTGCCATTTCTTGGCAGTTTCACTGTGGTATAATTTCTCTAATTCTGCCAGAAATCTGAGTTGGGGAGGAAAGTAGCAATATTTCATAGAGCCATTGATAAAAACATTGGTTAAAAAATTCCATGCAAACAGGTCTTTCTGAGCAGAGGAATGACATCAAAAGGTGTGAGAAAGACCAAAGACAAAGGAAAAGGAGATGTAGAGCCCACACTGCTGACTCGAGAATGCTGCTGCTCTCGAAGGCCACTAGCTGTACTGTCCACTAACCTCGTGCAAATGCAGGCCTAGGTGCCACCAAACAGCTGCAGGTGTCTGTGGAAAACAGGTTCTGTGATCAGGTCATGGTGTTCACTCGCCTGCACCCCACATCACCGTTGGAACAGGCTGAGGGTACGGAAGAGGGGTTTTAATGGGGAAAACACCTAGGCAGTACCCAGCACAGAGAGTCCAATGACCCTGACCTGGATTTGACTGTGCTTGAGGTGCAGGCCTGAGGCATGTCATCAAATAGGACTTTTCTTCTATACCTGAGAGGTGAGCATTGGGAGGGTTCGAAGATTGTGCTTGAAATTTTCTTTGAAATTGTGAAAATAGGGCAGTGAAGCAGAGTTGTTCCGCAGGAGTTAGGCATCAAGCCTGCTGCTGCTCCTTCACTGGGGGTTGCCTGCATCTTGGGTGAGGCAGAGATTTTGTGAAGTAGTGAGGGGTGGGCAATGGGTTCTTGCTCCTGTGGCAGCAACACCTAGTGGCAGTTTAGGCGCGCAATTGCTTTCCCACTTCAGTGACAGCCTAGAAAGCAGACATTCTAGTGTTTGCCTGTGTGCACACCCAGCTGTGTGCACACCCAGATGTTGACAGGGATGTTTGTTTGCTTGTTTGCTTTGTTTTTCAGCTGGTAAGAATATTAACTTCCAGTCGATAGGGAGGTCTGCTGATGCCGAAGAGAAACGCTCATAAGTGTAGTTTTTCTTATCTAATGAAGAGGTGTGTGGAAACAGTGCTCCTTTCTGCCTTTCACATGGCAGTATTCCTGGCTTCTGATGTGTCTGACAGGGTTTGGGACAACCATTCCAGTGCTGATGGTTGGAGATTTGCTCCCTTACTGGCTGAATTAGGAATTAATTCTCTATTAACATCTTTGTTTGGGGAAGAATGTCTCTGAAGTCTCTTTCAGTTCCCAAGTCCCAGACCCCTGATTTCCTGTTGAGCAAGACTTGAGTTGGCTGTGTAGACAATACATTTCACAGAAATAAGTTCCACCCTCTGAAAAAGCTAACTGGAGAGATCTACTGACCACACAAGCTCCCAAATGCTCTCGTGCTGCACTGTTCCTCCATCTTATTAGTGAGCTTAGGGATGGCCTCTTGGTGTCACTCTGGTAGGGAAATCAGGCTATCAAAAATGACATATCTAACCAAAAAAAAATTAACCATGATGTTTCATTTCAGGATGATGAAATTAACCAGCAGAGCCAGCTGGCTGAAAAGCTAAAGCAACAAATGTTGGATCAGGATGAGGTAAAGAACACAATAAATTCTTCTCTACAGACTTCTTTTGTTATTTTTGTTGTTAATGTTAGTTCTAGAAATGCCATTTGCAAAGAATTTCTTTCAAAACCCTGAATCATGTGAAATGTTTTGGTAGATATTCTTTAATGCCTGTTAAAAGTTGATTGTGGTTGAACTTAGAAAATAAGTGTCTGACTTTATAGAGCTCTGGGACTTAGGAAGTAAGAAACTGTGTGCTAGGGCTAGAGAGATGGCTCGGTGGTTAAGAACACTGGTTGTTCTTACAGAAGACCCAGGTTCGAATCCCAGCACCCACATGTCAGCTAACAACTGTCCGTAACTCCAGTTCCAGGGGGATCCGATAGCCTCTTCTGTCCTCCACAGGCATTGCATGACACGGGTGCACTTACCTACATGCAGGCAATACACGCATAGACATAAAATAAAAATAATAAATAATTTTTTTTTAAAAAAAAGAAACTGTGCTACAGTTAGACCTGGGAAAGCAGACGCCTGTTCTGGTGGTTGGATATCTTCCGCAGACCCAGCATGGCAGTGTTCTGCTATTTTAGGCTATTTCACCTTTGCATATGAGATGCCTCAAGTATTTTTTCCATTCATTTTTATTAGTGGAAATTTTTATTAGTGTACAAATAATGGGCTTCATTATGACGTTTTCATGCATGAGTATGATGTACTTTGATTATGTTTATTCCTATTACCGCATGTTGGCTCACCTTTCCCCTCCTGCTAATCTGCTTCCTCTTCCCAAATAGTCCCTCTCTACTTTTATATATTTAAAAAATAATCTAGATTTCATATGTAAGAGAAAATATGTGATATTTTTCTTCTTGAGTCTGTCTTATTTCACTAAACATGATGATGTTCCATCTCTTTTCCTGAAATAACATGATTTCATATTTTTATGGCCAAATAAGATATCTATCATCTATCATCTATCTATCTATCTATCTATCTATCTATCTATCTATCATCTATCTATATCTTTTATCATCTATCACCTATCCATCTATCATCTATCTATCATTTATCTATCACCTATATATTCATCATCTATCTATTCATCATCTATCTACCTATCATCCATCTATCTATCTACCTACCTACCTACCATTTACCAATCATCTGCCTCGGTCTCTATCTATCTATCTATCTATCTATCTATCTATCTATCATCTATCTATCATCTATCAATCATCTATCAATCATCTATCTATCATCTATCTATCTATCATCTATCTATCTGCCTATCTATCTACCTACCTACCTACTATCTGCCTCTGTCTCTATCATCTATCTATCCATCTATCTATCTATCTATCTATCTCTATCTCTATCTTCTATCATCTATCTATCACTCTATCTATCTATCATTCATCTATCTATCTATCTATCTATCTATCTATCTATCTATCATCTATATATTCATCATCTATCTATTCATTTATCTCCCTATCATCTATCTATCATCTATCATCTATCTACTTACCTACCTACCTACCACCTACCAATCATCTGCCTTCATCTATGTATCTATGTATCTATGTATCTATCTATCTATCTATCTATCTATCTATCTATCATCATCATCTACCTACCTACCTATTATCTGCCTCTGTCTCTAGCTATCATCTATCTATCTATCTATCTATCTATCTATCTATCTATCTATCTATCATCTATCTATCCATCCATCCATCTATCTATCTTTTATCACCTATCATCTATCTGTCTCACATTTTCTCTAGTCATCTGTTGATAGACACCAAGGGCTGGTTCCATAATCTGGCTATTGCAAAAGTCTGCCTCATGTTTTGGTATAGACCATAATCTCCTGCCATCCTACAGGGAAAACAAAATCAAAAGCAGAACATGGGAGAGGGAAAGAAAAGAGAAGTGGGGCCCTAGTGCTGTGTTACCATTTATTTGATACACTAAAAAAGGAAGCAAGTTGTTTTCAGTCTCCCCCTGTTGGCATTCACTTCTGTAGTAAATGTCTTTATTGCACTGTGTTTTGTCAAGTATTTTACAAACAGGAACCTAAGCAAAGCACAGCTAGCCAATCTATCAAACATAGATAATTAGAAATTCTCTTGCCGAGAATCATCTAAGTATTTTTCTCTACTGTACTTTAAGGAGCTTTTGCTTCATTGCTAAAAATGCTGTGGACTGGCTCATGCGTGCAATGATGACAGGTGGCATGGCCTATGTCTGCAGTCCTTACTCTGCCCCCATCATGGACTCCGTAACCATTTCCTTCCTCTTCCTCTTTGTTCTCCTTCATCTCTCCAGTGTAATGATTGTGGCCTCAGCCCAAACTTCTCCCTTGGTAGAGAGACAATCTGTGCCTTTGGAATCTCGTGAACTATGTTTAATTGATGTCTATCCTAGCTGAAGTTGAGGTCTTCTGTTTGCTTAGTGTTTTATGCCCTAAGTCCATGCCATTCCTCTGAATTCCCAACTACTGTACAACTGCCTGGAATACATTCTTTTTATGATACTTCAAACTCTAATGTTTTTCTTTTTCTATTCTTAAAAGGCATTAATGTTCATGGTAGGGAAATCAGAAAATAACAATAGGAACAAAGCTTAAAAACAAAACAAAACAACAAAAACAAACAAAAAAATCCCATATGCTCAGGCACTTACTTTTAAAGATTTTATTTTATGTGTATATGTGTGTGCCTGAGTATATGTATGTGAACCATATGGGTGCAGGTGCTCTCAGAGACCAGAAGAGTGTGTCAGATCCCCTGGAATTGTGAGCCTCCCAAAATGGGTGCTGAGAATAGAATTGGGTTTTCTGCAAGAGCAGCAATTGTTCTTGAGCACTGAGCCTACCCTCCAGCCCTCCTCAGGCATGAACTTTTAATTTGGGTTAGTGTTTGAGGTCTATTGTTGTATACATTCATGATACACATTGAGAAAAATAACTGCCTTTTAAATACTGGGGTTTTTTTTATAGTTTTGAAAATCAACTTGCTTACAGCATCAAATTGTGGTAGTATTTTCAGAAGCTTTGCCAGCATTAATATAATGGAAATGATTCTCCTGTTCTTTGTTTAATATATGGAATAGCTAACCAGCTATACCATGCAGTGATTTTTTTTGTTTATGTGTAGTTCATTCTTTGACTTAAGCATAAAAGCTTTAAGCAAAAAGGGGGAGAAAAAAGCACAGATTTTTGAAATAACATTTGAAAAGTTATTTAGCATCTTTAACATGTAGTGAGAGTTCCTGAGCTCTTCTAACCTGTTCTGTTCACCCGGTTTCCAAATTGCTTTATGTGGGGAGAGCACATACCATAAACATCTGAACCGTAAATTCACGGGTTCCACCCCATCTCATTTCTGCAGCTTCTAGCGTCCACGAGAAGAGACTATGAGAAGATACAGGAGGAGTTGACACGCCTCCAGATTGAAAATGAGGCAGCCAAAGATGAGGTGAAAGAAGTCCTCCAGGCTCTGGAGGAGCTGGCTGTCAATTACGACCAGAAGTCACAGGAAGTGGAGGACAAGACCAGGGCCAATGAGCAGCTGACAGATGAGCTGGCTCAGAAAACGGTTGGAGCATTTGTGTTAAAGGGGGTGGGACTTTCTTGTTGGTAGACCCATATAGAAAGACAGTTGGCTGAATGTTTACTGCATACGAGACTCAACTTGTTCCCCAAGGTCCCCTCCAACAGTTGTACTGCTTGGTGGAACTGACTTGTCCCCTTATCGTGATCGGCATGTCACAGCTGTTTTACATCCAGAAAACTTATAACATCAGCAAGAATGTCTTCTGGAAATAGTCAAGAGTTCAGATTCTAGAGCCAGAAAAATCCTAGTTGGAAAAATTTGATTTCATGACTCTTAGGCCTTAGGCAAGACGTTTAAACATCTTGAGTATTCAGTCCTTCATCAACATGGCAATAACGAGCTCCTGGCATGGAGTGAGCACTTAGTGACAGTTTAGGTAAAGTACTTAGCACAGAGCTGTATGTGTGCCATAGTATTAGTGCTCAGTGAATAAGCCTGAAAAGGTTGTTATGAAAGAGCAAGAGTAAGAGACACACAGCAGGTGTGGGTGTCATCGTTTACAGCCTCCTGAAAGAAATCACTTTCCTTCCCCAGCCTCTTGTCCTAGCTTCAGAGCCCAGGAGTAAGCCGTTCATGTTTGCTTGCTTCCCGCTTTAAGCATTTCAGCCTGCTGTCTCCTTCTTTCCAGCTTCTCCCAGAGACAGATGCTATAGGTTTTGCATGGTGAGCTAGCTACAGGCAGCAGGACCAGTGAGCATTTGGCAAGGTGGCTGGTGGTAGGCAATGCCCTTTGCTGCTTGGAGATGGGTAGTGGAGAAACTGTGACCTACTGCCCTTGGCACCTCTGGTATCATGGACTGGGTCAGACTGCCTTGTGGAAACATCCAGTTCTGGGCAAGAAGAACAGATGGTGAGCAAAGTGCTGACTTGCTGAGCTGACAGGAAGTGCTGTTTGTTCCACATGTGCCACTGCATGGAGGAAGAAAGATTTTCCTAATGACTTCTTGAGAGAGGACTGTTGTGTCTGGGGGTTAGAAAGAAGATGAAATAAACAGATAAACAATTGGCAATGGCAGTTCAAACCAAACCCCTGCATAATCCCTTGGGAAACGGGGAGACCTAGACTCTGTTCTTGGTGTTTTCTCAGGGTTCTTTTAGGTAATCCTTGCTGTTTGTGCTTCTCAAAACAAGGAGAGATTTTTCATAGTACAGTTCTTATGTCAACGCAGGTAGTATTAGGCTAGTTTAAATACTATTTCCAGTGAATTTTCCTAACTGCAAATGGAGGATTGTACAGATGTCTTTGAATTAATCCACACTGCTCCAGGAGCAGGGCCTTGTTACTACGTCAGCTGAGTTAATACCAAGACACTAGAAAGCGGCTGTTCTAGTGCTGTGAGTTAAGATCACACACCTTATGGTAACAAACATGAAGGGTAGAAAAGAGATAAGTTTGCTGAAGTTTGACAAGAAAATAGAGCTTTTGCTGCTTATGAAGGAGCATTCTTGAACTTGAGTAATTATGAAAAAAAGACAGTGCCTAACTCAGCTTCCCTGAGGATTAGAAGACTTTTCCACACTCATTCATGCTTCTCTGGGATGTCCTTTCTAGATCATCTATCAGGGTATTTGGAAGTGGCCCAATGAACAAGTTTGGGCATGGAGCTGGGGACACTGCAATTCTGTTTAGATCCTGAGCTAGAACAGTGAGGAAAAAGCAGTACTTGATGGGTTGGAAGATGTAATTAAATGGCACAAAATTCAAACTCCTTTTTCGGTGTGTGTGTACATGTCATGTGTGTCTGGGGGCCAGAGGTCAACCTTGGGCATCTCTCCTCAGGTACTGTCTACTTTGTTTTTTGAAACTTAGAGCTCACTGAGTAGGGCCAGCCTGGCTGGCCAGTGAGCAACAGGATCCTCCCCAGCACTGGGATTACAAGCATATACCACCATGCCCAGATTCTTTAAATGGTTTTTGGGGGATCAAATTCAGATCCTTATGTTTGTGCAGTAAACATGATGGTTTAGTCAGTAAATGGCTAAATCTCCCTGGCACTTTGGCTTTATTTATTTTAAAAATATTTATACATTTTATT